AGCTAAGAGATTGATGCAGAGCTGCAACTAACTTTGAAAGATAATTTAATGAGATTTCTGCTTAATTTCCCAGTTAAAAGAATGTAAATGCGGGTAAAAGAAAGCAACATGCCAAAAAAAAAAAAACTGTTAGCTTGGACATATATATATAGCAATATGAGTGATCAAGACGCCCCTGATCGTTTGTTTCCTTAGCATCAGTTATAACAATTTACCATGTGTGCCATATGTGTTAATAATCATTAAGGACAATCTGGCACAAAAACAGCATGTAGGCTGAAAGGTCAAACACTAATCAATAAGAGCTCATGTTTATGGCAAGTCATTTTTCTTTTCCAGGTACACCTTTTCTTTTAACACAACTCATCATTAATTTGTTACATCAATTACTTTCAATAACACAGATGTGTACAATGTGTATATATGAGCATTGTTATTTGACAGTGCTGGAAGGTTGGACACACTGCAACACAGCGGGTTCTCTGGACACACGTGTGAATGCAGATTTCGAAGATGAGGGGCACCAAATGAAAACCAATACAACACACACACACACACACACACACACACACACACACACACACACACACACACACACACACACACACACACACACACACACACACACACACACAAAATACTGGTTATATGACAAAGAAAATCCCTCATCCCTTTAAGCTGATCAGGCCTGCAACATATGAGCTGGACTCCTGGCAGGATAATTGCATTGTACATGGCATCTAATTAAATGTCCATAAGCAGGGAGATCGAGAAGTAGAGATGTGTGTGTGCGCCCGTGTGTGTGTGGGGGTGGGGGTAAACAGTGAGAGAGAGGCTGCATGTGGGGGTGTGTATTGGCGTACTGGGCTCCTCAATCCCGTGTTCCCAGAGGGAAAAACGCTGCAATCACTCCATTAGTGAAAGAGGGAGGGAGACAGGGATGCTGGGAGAAAGCAGAGGGAGTAAGAGAGAGGGATGTGGGGAAGGAAGGGAGGGAGGGAGGATGGAACACAGCTGACTTGGCCAATAACAGCAAATGAGGTTAGATACAAGCAGAGAGGGAGTTGGGGGGGGTCAATGAGCGTCGAGGACATGGACACAATGACTAAAACATGGGATGGGAGGAGGGAGAGAGGGTGAGTGACAGCAGATAAAGAGGAGTGGGGATGGGGGGGGGGGTGTAGAAACAGACAGATGAGAGAGTGAGGGGGAGAGAAATGGAGACAGAGGAGACAATTGAGGTAAGAAAGCAGGATGGATCGGTGAAGCCAGGGTCAATGGGCAGATATGGCTGCAGATTGTTCAGTGCTCAGTCGCTGTCAGAAGGCTTATTGTCACAAAAACAAGAAAATCATGCTGGTGTGTGTGTGTGTGTGTGTGTAGTGTTGAACCACATAAATATGTACACAAACTGCATGATTATGATATAAGTTGCATTACCAAAATATAAACATGATGGCAAACATACATATACACACGCACGCACGAATGCACAACATACACGTCTATGGCCAGCAGGCTCACTGCGTTACTCTCATCAAATATAGATTGTGAACACATTACAAGGTCACGGCACTAGGTGTAAACTGAAACTATCCCTTGTGGGAAAACACACTGGAGGATTGTTGGTCCTTATTTGCCCTATGTGATCACATCAGAGCAAATAAAACACAGATTTTACATTAAATACATCTTTATATATATTTATTTGTGTACATTTGTAGTGACGGCTGCAGTTTCAGTCTCTGATACACTTGAATTCACATTCTATTATATATTTGTCCTACAGTGTCATTGTTTTAATGCTTCATAATCTTATGTTTACTATTCTAATTTACATCATATTCTAATAATCTAATAATCTATACATGGGCATGGAAGGGAATTTAAAAGAGTGGCTGCGTTTCCAAGTCTTGCTTTTGTTTCATACCTCTAACGGTTAAAATGGCCTCCTACTGGTCACCTCTGTATCTGGGCAGACATTTTAGAAGGAAGGCAGGAGACTGAAATCTATATGGCTGAATCAATATGTCACAGAGGTTACAGTGGGCACCATAGCTGCCACTGTTGAGCAAACAAACTAGGGAAAATGATTGTTCTCCCAAGTCCTAAATGACCCCAATAATGCTGCAGAATGGATTTTTTTTTGCATGTGTTATTGTTGAATGATTGTGTGTGTGTGTACAGGAGCGACGAGGAAGCACACTTACGTGCACTAAGACTATACTCAGAATCATTGCAAGATAGAGAAAACATACAATGAGAGAAAGATGTAACAACACAGATAGGCGGACTTCAATCCTTGTTCTTCCCCACAGAGGAGAGATTGATGGCTGCATTCAGGATTTCTACACACCGCTAATTGGATTCACAGGTCATTAGATAAAGTACATGAGTGAGACTGTTACAGCCTAAAGACTGAGAGAGAGAGAGAGAGAGAGAGAGAGAGAGAGAGAGAGAGAGAGAGAAAAAGGAGAAGGGTGCAAGAGGGGCAATATTGATGAGGTTGTTTGGTTCAGGACCAATGAAATTTCCTCACCCTCTGCTGTGCCTCCAAAGCCCTGTTCCCCTACACAGGGAGGGGGTTGATCGATAATTTGTGCGGCAAGAAAACGTGGGGGTTGGAGACAGAGGCAGGGAGGGATGAGAGGGAAGGAAGAGAATGAGTTGATGCGTGGTTCACTTACAGCGTTCTCAAGTTGCCTGTTGTCTCTCCTTTTCAATATATTGTGGCAAGAGACGGAAATGAGATTACACCGACCATTATGTCCAACAAAAGAGCCGAATGAGTGGATGAACATTTTTTTTCTCCCAACGGCAAAAGTCTGTGCCCCAGTTTTGAGAGCAGGGTGACGGAGGAGATTGGAGCAGGTTGGCCAGCTAGATGGTAGTTTATACTGACGTGTGCAATTACAACCTAAATCAGCTATCATCCTAAAAGAGGATTTTGTTCTGGTCCAGTAAATAGAGATTATGAGTTTTCAGTGTAGCTAGCATAGTGCCAATCTTTTGTGATTTGTAACCCGGCGACAAAGTGAGCTCATTGAAAAACGCTGTACTTGTTTAGAGAGCCAGCGGGGCTTGTTGTTTTAACATAGGAGGACAAGGGTACAGTCTGCTCAAACACATACAGGCATGCAGATGGCTGTTCATTAATTACAGATGGATGGGGGGAGGGAGTAACAGAGAGCGAGAGACACAGAGAGAAAAGGGAGAGAAAAGAGAGAGAGAGGGGTCAGCTAATGGAGCCAGTATTCTCTCCCTCTCTCTGGACAATTACCTCTGTCGGCCCCAGACCTCTTCTGGCGCTCTTAATCAAGGTGCAGGTGTGTCGGTTTGTGTGCAAGCGTGTGTATGCGCATGTGCGTGCACGAGAAGGGGTTCCTGCCGTCCTCAGCACTCTCTAGCAGCAATCCGATTAAAGCCCTGCTGCTGTGGGGCCTAGCTGTCCTCCCCTCTGCGAGGCCTACAGCTCACCTTAAAACCCCTTCGACACACAACAACTGCCCACCACGCACAAAAGTATTCACACATGAAACCAAAGTGCCAACACACTTACAACAAACGCATACACACGCACACATATACATACACACACTATTCCACCTTTTCCAAAAGTGGTGTGTGTGGCCTCTGAGCTGACCTCCCATCATCACCCTGGCTGTTGGCAACCATTACTTTGGCCCCCTGGGGCTTGGCCGCCCCTCACAGAGCCCTCTGCGCTCTGCTTAGACAACCAATCTGTTAAAAGACAGGCACCGCTCGCTCCAGCAGGGTTAGATGTTAGATGCTTCTTCATTTGGCAACACAGATTACATATTGTCTTTGCACATTAAAAAGGCAGTCGCATTACTGCAAACCTGCACCGCAATGTGTCCATTCAAAGCAACTGGAACCCACACAAAAGGACCAATTAAAAACAATCACTTTGAGTTGCATAATCAATTTCAGGCTTCACTGTGAAATTTGCATTTGGTGAACATTGACTGAGACATTTCCTCAGCCAAAAGAAACACTTGTTTGGGTGCACTGACCTCTGAGAAAAATCCAATATGGAGCCAACTATTATATTTAACATATTATATTAACACTCAGTTTGATAATGCAGCACTTCCAGACTACATATCGATAGAGATAATCAGCATAGCTTGCAGGTTGCTGAGACATTCATGATGTTGAAAACTGCGCAGCAGTAGCAAACTATCTCACCGCAAATCTTCAACCATAATTTAACATCCTTTCCCATCAGCATAAACAAAGTCAAATCTGCCAATCTGGGTGAACTTCCCCTACAGTAAACATTGAGAATGCACTGTGTTAAAATCAGTTGTGTGTATGTACGTGCGTGCATGCGTGTGAGAGAGAGATACATTTTAGGTGTCCTGTTGCAGTGAAAACAAGCACCACTTCACTAAACTGACCGAGCCTGATGAATCAGCCATTCTCAGTAGCAAATTAAAAACTAATTTCTTTCTTTATTCAGCAAAAGAGGCAATTTGGCCACATTAGGTTGTAAAAAAAAAAAAATCAATTGAAAACTGGTGAAGGTCTCCTTCATTAAATCAATTAAGTGCATCGACAAACATCTTTATTTCCATTACAAGCATTATTACACTGCCAGTGGATCGCAAAGGTGGTTAATATTCAAGCCCGATTCTCAGAAGGGTTTTTATTTTTACACATGACCCTTTAAAAACAAACCTCAGGACACAAACTGATTATAAATCGTATTTCACTATGATTTGTATTCAAATCTCATCGGACTTCCACAGTGCAACAAAAATGTGCAACGCTTCACCTGTAACTCCTAATTAGGGTCCAAGCACACAGCAGCGTAGCCCTGATTTCTTCAGGCATTTTTTGAACACTAGAACAACAGCGGTTTGTGTTTTCCAGCTTGGGACACACAGGACGGGTGGGTGGATTAGCGGTGAACGTCAGGTCAGTGCGAGGACACAGGGACATAAAACAGGACGGACATGAAGTGAAAAAGTACTCACCAGCTTGAAATCCTGAATGCTACAAATGAAGTAGGGAGTGTTGGGCCGCCGACTTTCAATGTACACACAATCTGCAAGCGAGAAAAAAGAAGAAACAGTGAGTTTGAAAGAAGATGTTCACACTTCCAAAAGCTTTCATGTTTTTATGCAGCCAGAGTCGGTAATATATTATTTTGCGTGCTGTTACCTCTGCTGAAAAGACATTTTTCTCCTTGAGTCAAATTCAATTGGAATGCGAGTAATAGGATTAAGGACTTTTGGAGCGCTACAAGGTTGCCTTTCCAAAGCAAACATTACGCCCAAGGGGAATTATGTTATTGTTCCACTCCATTTATACACCAGTGAGCAATACTGGCTTTAACCCCATTCCAACCCCCCAGTCGTCACTGTAACTCCTTCCTGCAAAATGACAACTTCTGTCATTGCAACTATATATGTCCAGTTAGCTTCGTGGTAAGGCCTCGCTCCTCTCATTCATGTTTTAAAATGTTGCCAAATTACATAACCCTCACAAGTGTTAAAAGCAGTCCTCTCACATTGTGTGTGAGGAGGTGGCCCTGGCCGGCTGTGCTGTTAAATTGGATGTGACTGGTGGTATGGCCAGGTCGTGAACCCTCATCTCCTTAACAAAAACATTCACGCTGTAGAGGGAAAAAAAAAAACACAGCCACTTCTGTGGAGAAGAAAAGGAGGAGGAGGAGGCAAGGGGGGACATGGCTAATGGTTACTGCTAAGCCTGGCACAGTACTTTCCAGAAACAGCCATGGGTTAGAGGTATTAGAAAAAAACTGATTTGAATTCACAAAAGTCAGATTAGCATAATAGTCGCCCATTCACCTTTAGCTCTTAGCTGAAACACAAAACGAGGAATGTGATCAAACTCTGCAAAAATACATATTTATTTTGGTTTAAATAGTAACCTGTAAAAGACGGTGCTCGCCCACCAAACAGGCAAAGCAATCAAAAGCCACCGACACTTAATTGATCGCAAAATAGATCTCACACTGAACGTTGACCTTCTATTCAGATGGAAGCAATGTAACAAGCTATTGCTGACTGCTCCCAGGATTGGTTTTGCCTACAGTTTAATGCAATGGAGCGTAGCACTCTTGCTAATGTTAACACATTCACAAGGCCATGAAGATGGACAATATCTCACATCTGTAAGCTTTGATAAAAAAAATATAAAAAAAACGTAGGTAATATTTACACTGACAACACACACTGCTGGTGCTCATTTCACCAAAACACAAGCTGAGCTGTTCCTTGCAGAACGCCTAAGCCACACTTTCCCAAACAAAAGATGTGCGGCTCGCTTTTTTTTTTTATAGTGACTGACAGTGCCATCATCTGTTATTTATTTGTTTGTGTCAACAGAGTTATCGATCTGGCTGTGGTTTATCTTACCGCTTGCAGAGGAAAAGAGGGGTGGCAAAGATATTAAATGGCTCTGACACCCAAGATACCATTTGTAGAGGGGCTGGTGTGTTCGAGTGCGCCTGTGACATCACAGGCTTTGTTTTTTGAGAGGGTGTGTGTGTGTGTGTGTGTGTGTGTGTGTGTAACCCTGGGGTGGGCTTGTTATCTGCTGTGGGCTGAATGAGCTGTTCTAAGGAGACGGGGGGAGAGAGAGGGGGTTATCGCCTTCGCTGGCTATGAGTGACGCATTATATCTCTGTCACTACTGCCCTCTTTTCGCTTTTCCCCTCTCCCTGCTCCTCTCCCTCCTCTTCACCATCCCTGGAAGTCATTTACAAGATAACATGAATGAAAATATCCATCAGTGCTATTGTGTGATCTGTGAGCAACACAGTGAGTAAGTGTGTGTGCTGAGAGAGACAGAGAGAAGCGGGTAGAGGAGGAAGAGGAGGAGGGGGGAGCATGGGGGAGGGAGAGAGGAGAGGGAGGGCCGAGAACAAAAGAGACTAATCTGAATGAGATGACGTTTCTGAAGAGTCAAATCGGGGGAATTAGGGTTTAGTGTCCCTTCACCTCGTCGGCACATTCATTTAGAGAGGCCAGATCTCCGTGTCTACACCCCAGAGCACACCAACAGGCATAAAGAACAGACAGCGAGAGTGAAAAAGATAGGTGGAGGGAGAAAAAAAGACAGGGATCTAGTTTAATCATTCACAGACAGCAAAGCGAGTCTATTCTTCGAACGTCAAAAGCACATTTTGAATTCATCCTGGGCACTAAAAGTGTACTACCTCAAGGGCATTTCTCTGAAAACGACTATAACAAGAATCTCAATGAATATGAAAGTTAAAACCCGGGTTAACGCTTCAGACTCGAACTTGAACGGAAAGGAGGCAACGGAGCTCGGGGAAGTTGGGTGGGGTAGCGGGGGGCTCGTCAAAGCGGGCCACACGGTTCCTCCGGGGTCTGACTGGCTTGTTAAACATTCCTGCCATTTTGTGCGTTTGGAAGTGGGTCTCCTCGCTCAAGTGGAGAAGTGGAAAGGGGAGGGATGAGAGGTTTAGCTGTGGCGGGGGTCTAATGTAGGGGGGATGGGCACTTTTTTTAGGGTTGAAGTGTGTGCTCGTTGGATGGATGTAGCCTTCGCTGTAGGAGGGAGAACCACAGCAGGGCCTTTGTAGTTTGAGTGCTCTCACTCCCTCAGCAGCCGTAAGTTTGGCTTCTTCCACTCGCCTCCGCCCTACAATCCAATGCCGACCGCCACGCCACCCAGACAGATAGGGAGCGAGAAAAAGTTCAATACTTTCGACAAAGGGAGATAATCGCGAAGCTACTGAGCGCAGTTCCTCAGACCCAATCACTTTGCTGAAACATGATCCTGAACATCGTCACTGCTGAGTTCAAGTAGTGGAATATTCATTGTTATAACCTTGCGACACACGCACACACAGTGTATACACACAGCAATTTTCTCAGCTGTAGCTCATTGTTCAGCCAGCCATTCTCTTGCAGCTGCCAAGCATGTCTAATCTAAAACACACCTAGCCTCAGCAAAAGAGCCATGTCCTCCTCTCTCTGTATCAAGCAAATAAGATGCTGTTTAATTTGCTGCAGCATTTCAGCGGAGTGCGGAGGGGGAGTTCTTAGATAATATCAGCTTGGTTTTCTTTTACAGGCGGCCAACAATGGAAAAGTCACATTGTGAACACAGTCATATATGCCAATGTTTTGTAAACAGTGACGGGGGGTGGGGTGTTTGCTGCTGTGGAATGAGATCAGCTAAACAAAGCAAGAATGTGAGCATATTTTAGGATACAAGACGAGCTTATTAAATCAAGACGAGTGTTTGTGTAACCCATACTTGCAGGTGGCGAGTCTTAGCCATGAGGCAGGACGCACCTGCATTGTTAAAAGTGGTGCTTTGCTCAAAGTGCCGGAGCAGACTTTCACACACACACACACACACACACACACACACACACACACACACACACACACACACACACACACACACACACACACACACACACACACACACACACACACACAGCGGAGTAGGGCACGGGTTTAGCAAAAGCTACCCCCCTTGAGTGTACTGATCCTAAAATTAAATAGCACAAGGAATGCAATAATGGAACCATGGGGGTGTAAGGGGACTAGAGGGCCAAGGAAGACAGAGAGGTTGGGAGGAAGAGGGCGACTGGTGTTATTACTGATCTGCCACCGACCGCATCGCCTCTTTGAGAGAGACCAGCTGATGACCGAGGCTGCCTTGTGCCACTTCCTGCTGGGCCGGTCCCAGCGGGGGGAGCGTAGCAGGCGGTCGAGCCCTGGAGGCGCACGGACGCTTGCTTCTTCCTCAACTTTCTTTCCTCTCTCTCCTCATCCACAAGCCCAACAACTCTTCCTTCTTCTCACTGGAAAAGCAGTGGGAAATACCTGGCAAGCGATACCATCAGCGCTCTACAATAGGGCAGGCCTACAGCTGACTGAGCTCCTGGGGGAGAACAGAGGCTCTTTGACAACCCCCCCCCCCCCTCTCCTTTCCCTCTCGGCTAGCCCACGCTTTCTCATTTAGCGGTCGGCAGGTGGTTGGATTTCACTAAAAAGCCCTTTTCCCAGAGTCTCTAGCGTGGGGAGCGATGGGAGAGAAGAGAGGGTTTTTTAAAAATAGATCTGTTCAGTTAGCGACAGGCTACAGATTCACACTGCTATGTTTCAATATGAGATGACTCCAAGGGCTTGTTCCTCATGTTAGTTTGACTGGAAACAGCAAACTGATCGACAGCTAGCCTTTATAGCGGAGGGCATGTGCGATGCTAATCGAGCTCTAGCCTACGGTGTATTGGCTCTAGAATAACCAATCCAACACTTACTGAAGCACATTTTACTGGCATCTCAAAGGGAACCATACTGAGAACAGAATTCAGATGTGTTGTGTTCTTATGAAGTATAATTTTTTATTTACTATGAATTAAATATCTGTCTGCAAAAAGGGCTCAGAGGTTGCACAAAATGATCGACGGTGCAAATTTAGGTAGATGATGTAATTCTATGAAAGGTACCTCAAACTAACTTGAACTACTGAATCAAGTTCAGGGTTTTTTTTAAACTCCAAATGACTAACAATAACTAAAGGTTTGGTGTATTAGCAACTGCAAAGGAGCAGCTAAGCCCCTACTTTTGCTGTCCTGGTGAGACGGCCTTATATTTTATACAATTAGAAAATTACAAGAAAAAAAAGAAAAGAAAAACTAAATCCCTTGCAAAACATAAAAAACAGGGCAGCTTTGTTTGACTGACAACAGTTGGTCCCGTGTTTAAAAAAAGGGGGAGGGAGGGCTGGTTATCCAGCTCTACATGTGTGTGTCAGACATACTCCTGCTGTACAGCTTACTGTGTGTGCACACATGACACATACACAGTGACACACACTCACTCCCCAGGGTTCTGTGGCGGCTGTGGCAAGAAGCGCCAGCTGTCCACATCAACAACTCCCCCAACACACTCACAAGGTGCTTTTTCTAAGACTAGCCAGCGATCTCTCTGTATTATACACTGCACTCACCCCACAAATCTATCACTTTCTAAGAAAAGACTGCTAGATTTAATCAAGTGTAGTCTTTATCGCCCTGAAACTCAGTGGGGTGGCTGTGGCAGCCATGTTGTGTGACATAAACCGATGAAGTAAGGGGTGGGGGCAGGTGGTTTCCATTAGCTCTCTCCATTTTAAACAGACCAGCCAGCCAGTCAGTTAGGAAGGAAGGAGACATGCGATGGCAGCCAGCCGCCTGCAGCACCAGGCAGACTCCTGCTGCAGGGGAGAGAAGGATGAGCAATGTAAATAGTACTGTGTGTGTGTATTTGGCTGAGCTTGTGTGTGTCGCAGGAGTGTGCTTGTCAGAGATAGGGACCGTGTCTATGACTGTTAAAAAAATGCCTTGTATGTGTTAGTGTGTGCCTGTATATGCGTTACAGTACACTTGTGAGAGAGCACAAATACTGGTTATCAGCATGCTGTGTATGTGTGCGCACTGACATGTTTTGTGTGCGTGTCCGAGCTTCTAGGGTGTCTCCTATTGATCCCCCCATAGCAGTATGTATAATCTCCAGAGAGAGGATCTATAATCTGGGGTGGGGGGTGGACGGGTGTAGAGAACAGGCTCTGGAGGTGTCTGGCCAGGCCAGGGGAAGTGGTGAGAGCTCAGCCACAGGGCACAGATTGATTTGGTATGTCTGCTTGGACTGCACTGGGTTGTTCACCCCAGCAGCCGACCATAGAAATGGCCCAGGACACAGTCCCCCGGCCACCACCACAGACACACTGCTCCATCCTTTTTAAATAGCAGCGGAGCTAGCTTTAGCTGCAGGCCCACCTACTGGCCCGTTGCACTTCTCCTTCCACCCTTCCCCATCCAATCGATGTGCACTAAGCCGCCTGAACCCATCTTCGAGGGATAGAAAGGCTAAGCATAGAGATTGGAGGTTTGCTGGAGATTGGGAGTGTGCAGACGGTTTCAATACTAGCTTACCTGTTATTTCTTATGTGATGACATGGGTCTGTGTGATTTCTAAAGCTCCCTGTGACAAAAGCAATCAAAACAGTATTTTGGGTCATAATTTTTGGGGGTTTCTGCACTGCTCTCCAACACCAACTTCTTCCCTCTCGACATGTCTGGGGTGGTGCAAATCCCTCTCCGAGGGTGGTCAGTTTTACATATTGTGTGTCACTAGACGGCTATAAAGGGATTTAACATTTAGTAAAGCATAATCCATTGCAGGCTTTGTGCCTGCCTAAGCTGCACACATCAAATCTGATTGCAAGAAGGCTGCTACCAATGACCAGGCAGGAGGAAAACACACACACACACACACACACACACACACACACACACACACACACACACACACACACACACACACACACACACACACACACACACACACACACACACACACACACACACAGCTTATCACTTGAACAATAAGCAGAGGAGACAGCAGGAGGTCAGTTGCTGAGGTGGAGGATCTTCCATGTTGACAATGGGAGGTAAATTACAAACTAGTGTACCGGTGTTGGGGCCACCAATGCCGAATCCTGGCTCATCCCTAATCTAAACCAATCTAACAGCTCCAGTCTATGTGGTGGGAGCAGGTTGTGACACCCGGGCCGCTTTAGACCTGTCAAACTAATTGAAGGAGAAGACAGGAAATATAAATATTCCCCTTCAACCAGACACTGGCTGCGCTGTTCGCTCGGATGTGGAAATATAAATATTCGGCGGGTCTAATCCACTGAGACGGTCGACTTTGTTTATATGCCTTTTGAATGTTTCATTGATGTGACTGACTGCTTCCGTTATTTTTTTTTTTTTTACCCCCCCCCTTTTTCCCACATGGTTAACTATGAGACAAAGCGCCGGTGCTCTCTCTATTAAACATGAAATGCGGAGGGAAAAGGCTTCAATGGAGTCTGTTGCAGAGCATTAGAGAGACAGAAATAGAGAGTGAACAACAACAAGGATTTGGTTCAGTGTGACTGCCTGCTTGAGGACCTCCACTGATACCAGCGCAGAGATAATTTAGCCAACAAGATTATGCAGCTAGACAAAAACTGTAGGATGGGGAGGTCTGGATGTTTTACTGTGGGCACTTGAAGTTGTCTTTTTAGTAGTTGAAAAGAAAAAAGGAGGGCTGAGTGTTGGCTGTGTGTATCAGTAGGTAGGAGAAGATAACCTAACACTGGCTGTAATTTCCTACATCTTCCCATTAAGTCCCCAAGCAATGTGCCTCCTCCACACCCACCCCCCCCCACTACTTGACCTTTTGCTAGCTGCTAGATAAACGAAAAGACATGGCGGCAATGATTTAGTTGCAAAGCAGAGAGCACTGAGCAGTAGCCGAGCAGGGAGACTACACACACACACACAGCTAGCTAACCTGGCTTCCTTCCGACAGCGAGTGCTGACATTCCCCCCCTCTAATACAACCAATTTATAAACAGTGGGTGAAAGAGAGGCCATGTTTACAGCTGCAGAAAAGGTTGGTTCCCTTTTTAGCCTCATTCATCCGACGCAATAAAGACACTGTACCACAGCTCAAACACCTCTCCAGGAAGCTAGAGTACCTTTTGGCCCTAGAGGAGATAGCGTACGTTCAGATGGTGTTGGGATGGAATCATTATCATCGCTGTCGTCACCATCACATCATCTAGTGAAGCACCACTTTGCTTTATTGACTTCCCCAAGACAAAGCACAGAGTGTGTCAACTTGGAATTGATTGTATGATGCATCGGGCCTCTTGGCTAAGGGAGTACTTCTGCTGTTAGGGAGTTGCTACTTTGGAGAATCGGCAATCCCTTAGTAGCTTAGCTCGGTGGCAAATGTGTCTTAATTCCTAAAACTAGCTTATTCGTTTAAAGTGGGATATAGGTAAATGAGCGAATGTAATGAAAAGAAGGTGGGCTTGCGATTATACTTAAACTAGGAAAATTGAATAATGGAGATTGACACAATTACATTAGCCATGAGTAGGACTTACCTCCGGGTCTGTAAACAACATCGTCTTCCGTAATGAATGACGTGATTTCTCCGTTCTCTGTTCGCTCGTAGCGAGACTTCTTCTTAGGCGTCTTCTTCTTGCCCTTTTTGCCGGCCTCCTCGGCCGTGCCGCTACCTCCACCTGTGCTGCCATTGTCATTGTCCTCGTCCTCGCTGTGCTCGCTCTCTGCATAGTTCTTGGCCCCGCCCTCCAGCGTACAGCTGCGTCGGGGCCTGGAGCTCTCACTCTCACGGTCGCCCCGGTCCCCGTCCTGCCGTCGGGACTTGCCGGCCTCTCTCTTGTCCCGGTCCCTGTCTCTGTCTCTGTCCCGCTCTTTCTCCCTCTCCTTCTCTTTGTCGGCCGTCATGATCCGCCACGTGCCTTCCTCAGTCCTCTCACGGCTGGGCCTCCGTGAAAGGTAGACTGTGAGCCTGGGCTTCAGTCTTCTGAATTTACCAGTCAAATCCAGGGAAAATTTGGCCACACCAACAACCCCAGTGTTTCAGAAAAGCTGTTGACAAGAGAGGAAAAAGGACAATTAGCATAACCCTATGTCAATAATCATCCTTACAGTGCAGGACCTACATTTTCTAAGTACAAAGGGTTGTTTTGTGCTTGAGGGTATCTATTGTGGGTGAGAAATACAAGATTAGTTCCTGGAGATCAGGCAGCTGTGCTGACTCTTCTCAACATCCCAGTAATTGTTGGCACTCCCCTCCACTACCATGTATACTCTGGAGAGCACTGAGTAGCTTTATCAAAGAACAGAACCTTCTAGCTTCCTGCTCAAGCATATTTCCATTCTTTCAGAGAGGCAGTAAAACAGAGTTATTAAAGAGCAACAGAATGGGAAAAAAAGAGTGAGATAATAGAAAGACGCGCTGTGCTGCATGCACAGTATTTGTAACCCGAGCTGAAGGGAAGTCATAACTGAATAAGCATAAAAAGGTAGCTCTGCATTGAGGATGAGGCATGCAGCCAAGAGAATTCCTCAGAGATAAAATGTCGAGGGGTTTTTCGGCACAAGACGCTGCTTGTCTTTTGCAATGCCACGGGAGAGACACAGCAGCATGAAGCTCAATGACAGAGTTAACTGGCTAGCTTCTCTGCAGACCATCTGTGATGACACCAGGCTCAATTTTACTCATCTGTGTGCGGTTATGTGTGTGTGTGTGTGTGTGTGTGTGTGTGTGTGTGTGTGTGTGTGTGTGTGTGTGTGTGTGTGTACTTTACTGGACTGCACCCCACCCCAACCCCCTCTGCCCTGGCTGACAGTCACCACTGTGCTAATGTGAAGTGACAGCTCTGGAGGGAAGAACACAGCAATCCACTGGGTAAGGAAAGGGAGAGGAGAGAGGCTGAGCTAGTCATTTGCCATGCCCTGTCCACTGCCATTTTCAGCTATAGTCGTTCACTCAAAAAGAAACTCAGCTACCACTTTCTCATGCCATAATGAAATCCTCCATAAACAGTGGAGTGGGCAAAGCTGAAGCGGCACGCTGTCTGCGCTACACTCCCTCCATACTGCGCCTACAAAGGAGGCTTCTCATTTACTGCCAGTGTTTGCCCCCTTCGCCCCCACCGCAACAAATTAACTAGAAATAGTTATTACAGCCCCCAGAGGGATCAGACCAGGCAATCAGCACCCGCGTTACCATGGTTGTGATAGCAGGGTGGGAGAGCGAAAAAAGGAGGGAGGGGGGGTAGAGATTGAGCCAGGTAAGGCAGACCCAGCTTCGAGGGAAAATTATACAGCATGTCTGCAAGTGGACGTGGGTTTATTGGGAGAGCTAAAAAGAATGTGAGGTGAAGAATAGAAAGAAAGAGGAAGGTGGAGGAAAGGTTTTTGGCAGCCACAGACACACACACAAACACAGGGACCCAACGACACACACACACACACACACACACACACACACACACACACACACACACACAATGAAGCGCGTTTGACAACGGCGCTCCTCAGCAGCGGGTGCTGTCATCTCGTGAGCAGACACCAACTGACAGGGCAGCTGCTCTTGTCGTCGGCTTCAACACAAACACCGGGCCTGATTAAACCGCAGCCTCGTCACAGCCCCATTAATCACCTAATGATGAGTTACCACGGCGACCACTGGGCTGCCAGCATATACACACAAGAGCACATTAGTGCACACGTAGGACGCGAGGACTCAGGAACGCTCTAACGCGCATGTGTGTGCAAAGGACACACACACCCACCATGGATACACACCTCCGTTGGTGTGCCAAAATACATACTGTGCCCCCTCCTGTGTCAATATCCAGCAGCATGTCTTGGAGGTGTGAGAAACATGAAAACATTGATGAAGGTAGCATTTGATAGCACAGCTCTAATCCTGGGAGCTGCCAGAATCTGTGTATAAGCTAAGCACCTCTTCTCTCCTCTAATCAGTAACATAAGCCTCTTCCACTGAAACCAACGAGGACCATGAACTGTTGCAAATGGAGGGCTGGCCCAGTCTCCTTTGATGTTGTGGGCTGCTATAAGCCTCTATAAGTATCTTTAAAATCTAGGTGCTATTAGCTTGCATCTGGATACACTTTACACAACTGCCTCATTCCAAATTCTGTATGTCCAATTACCTTGCTGACGTTAACATAATTGTATCCATTAACCCTCAGAGCAAAAAATAAATAAATAAAATAAAATCTTCATACAGACGTATGCTCATGTTTAGTTGTGTCAAAACTTTTACTAGATAATTTACAATATGTCTATAGTTCATTTGTATCACATAAGTAGCTGCAGTTTGATGCAGATAAAAGGGCCATTTGAAGTCGAACAAATTGAGCGAGTAAAAAGGAGTGAGTCAGAGTGAAGTGAAGTAGTAACACTGTGGCAAAAAAAAAGTCATAATGTATTGATGGCTGACGGGGAAGAGAATGAGAAAGAGAAACTGAGAGAGAAGGCGAGGGAGAGAGGGCTCTCCACCCACTATCGGGGAAACAAAGTGCTTAGTAGAAAGCAGCACTGGCTGCCTGGCCGATGAATAACACTGTGAGGGGGCAGGTGAGGCTTGGAGCTATTACACATCAATCACTGGGCCAGGACCCTTTGAAAGATACCAGCTGTCTTAATGGAAAAGAGAAGGCGGGGGCAGTGGCTGGAGAGGGGTTGAGGGGGTCCCAGCCAACGTCACCTAATCCACCATTTACATTACTGCAATGGAGTCAAGGGCTAGCAGCCAGCAGGGCCCTGCTCAAATACATTTCTCTTTTCCGTGCCTGTTTAAATGAGACCTCTGGCCTGAAAAACCACACAGTTTGTGGCTCGATTAACACATCATCCCCTACAATGGCCACACAGCAGGTTTGTGTTACTAAACACAGTTTTTTTTTTCGTTCTCCCTCCCTCTCTCTCTCTGCCGAACAGCCTTTTAAAAAAACATGTTTTATTCATTCCAATCACTCCCACATTTACCCAAATCCATGCTCATCTCTGTAGTTTTAATCAAAACCTGTCTAAGGATAAACATCCAAATTATCACGCTTCGCTTGAGTACCTACACAGCTGTAGGGTTTCTTTTTAATCCCGCCAAATTTTAGTAATTGATTATCTTGGATTATGAATTTGCAAAAAAACTGGACATTTATTCACACAGCATTTTATGGAAGAAATAACAACTACACATTTCTACATTTACATGCAAAACAGAATCTACCAACAATATAACCAGCACAGTGATCCACTCGGTTTTGGGAGAGAGACTGAAAAGTCATTCATGGCATATTCAATTGGAGAATTATGAAGTAGCAAAATGTGATTGGCAAGGATTTAGGACCGGCTTTGCAAAGGGATTGAATGAAATACTCGCATGAATACAGATTAGAGGAGAACAATGTTAGCATGAATATACACAGGGTTATTAACAATGAGGGCAACTCAAATTGATCCGAATAAACCAGCCAGATCCTCAGCAGTGCACGGATCCTAGCTGTGGTGATGTTGAGCTGCAGCAGGTTTTCGTCAGCTCCAATCCATTACTCAGTGCCATCTAATCTAAGCTGCCATCCAAGCCCCCTAGAAACAACAGCACAATGAAAGGCTCAGCTGGAGGCAAGGGGTAGGCCACTTCATAAGAGATTCTCTGTGGTCTCTGCACCCTGCCTGCTTTGTCTTACCTGGTGCAATCATGGCTTGTTTTATTCTCTGCAGCCCTCTCTGTTTTAGTTCACATTGGCAGGGCAAAGACACTTGTCTGCTCCACTTGTTTTTCAATTCACTGATGAGTAACCACATCTTTTTTCCCTCTGTTAAAGCTGTGCTCACAAAGGCTCTATTTTTAGCCGGCATCCGGGGTTAGTTTAGTAGGTAAAAGCCAATGCTCGAGAAAAGATAGCTTGGGGCTTTCCAACATCAACATTTAAACCTGCCTAGAGACTTGCATGGCAAACCACTGCAGATTCTCATGCACAATGACACTGTGTGCAACAATAAACTATCACTGTCTAAAAAGATCAAGACAATTTACAAAATCTCCCCGGGCTAACAATAGCATCCATTACTTTCTTTTTGTAATATAAACCGATACCCACTAAGTCAAACATATTCTCTGTCCAGCAGTTCACAGGTACTTTCAACCACAGACATAAGGATCAGACTGTGTGCTCCACAGGGCCTAAGCCTCTACTCCATCCTTTAAAGAAGGCTAAATCCTACTCTAGTCCCCTGTCTGTGTGCTCTCTGCAAGAGCTCCACATGGACCTGAGGGGGTCGCTCCACAACCCAGGATGTCCATTATCTACAGGGTCTGTGAGCAAGACTTCATTTCGCAGCCTAATACCAGCTACTTCAAGACACAGTACCTCTCAGTCTGCCACGTTTGTCTGGCTGGAGAAAAGCTGAAGGCCATTTCAGCAGCTCTGACTGCTTCACGAGGCATCATGTTTAGAGACGGCTCCTAAGGGAAATGCCAGGGTTGTCCACCGTCACCCTTCCCCTTTCCACCAAATGAGGCCCTCTTGAGAAATGTAATCGTGAGCAGGCCAGTAAAGGACCTTTCCCAATGTGTCGTTGATAAGAGAAGCAGGAGAAGGTGAGGTACGTGGCGGTGGATAGCACTATCATGAATGTGGCTCTTAATTGAGTTTCCCTGTAAATCTTTTTTTTTTTTTGCAGTGTGAATAAAGTGCCTGATTCGAAAGGATTTTCTAGTGTCTTTCACCTCTGGAGAGGCACTGACAATTCAATTTTTTGGCGAATTATGCTGTTGGAATGGAAATTTACCCAAAGGTAAAGCTGGGGTCAGGAGAGGTACAAATACGCACTGGGGACACATTCAAGCCTGAGTTGTACTAAAAAATATCTGTATCCCATATGCATGTTCAAACATTTATCTCTATAAATTGGAACAGAGCTCTAACGGGGGGAGGAGAAAATGAGTTACATGACATTTTCTCAATCAGATATATAGTAAAAAGAGATTTATTGGCAAAGGGAAAAAAAACCCCAGCAGTGATTTTGTCTTCTGTTCGAATGAAAGGACT